AAATATGGTGACATTATTTTTGTTTATGGATCATCACCACCACCATCATCAACAACAAGAATTTTGATGAATATCAAAATGATGAAAGTGAATGATGAAACTTTGAATAAAACAAACAAACAAACATATACATGTCGAACCATATGAAAAAGGTGTCATCTCTTTCTTTCTCTCGCTGTCTATTTCATAATTAAAATTAATAGTTTTCTTTTTCGTCTTTGGTTTCATTGTTTTGGATCATTTTTTTCCCCTAAAACTCTCTCACTTCATATGAAATATATATTCACACCGGTGTGCAAATCAGGAAAAAAAATGTCAGGAATAAATGTAAATCTAGATGGTTTTTTTGGTTCTGTATTTGACATGTTTACGTCTTTGGATGATAAAACTAAACTAAACAACAAACAAAAAAAACTATCACATGTTTCTCGCTTGGTTATTACAAATTTTTGTTTTTTGATATGTCATAACAGCAACAACATTTACAAACAAACAAGAGAAAATACAGTTTTTCACCAAAAACACCTTTGTGAAAAGTAAAAAACAAGGTATTGTGTTTGTGTGCGGTTATTTGACCACCATATTAGAAATGTGAATAATGTGTTATTTTCTTCTTCTTCTTCTTCTGATATATATCCACCAGGTATATCATTGAGATTAATGATCTTTTTTGGTTGTTTGTTGTTTTTTTGGACACTAGAAAATGTGTCATATTAATAAATGATTTTTCTGTCGCAATTTCTTTCAACTATCATTATTTATTATTTTGGAAACACTATGGATATTTTGATGGTTCCAAAAAAAAATTTTGGTAAATATTATCAATTGATTGGACATCTTTGCTTACCTATGGATCAAGCAATGGTTAAATAAATCAACAAAAAAACATGGTCAATCGAAAAGAAAATCTTTTGGTTATTATTCTGGGTTATTTTTGACAAACGAAAAGAAAACCATATGTGTGTGTGTGTGTGTGTGTAAAATTTAATCATTGATCATCATCATTGGGTTTATTTTTAAAGTGTTTTGGCAAATGTAAATGAATGAATGAAACACGCACACACACACATGGGTGCAATAAAATCATTTTTTAAAATATTCATTCATTCAGCGATGACAACCACTGAAAATGCATTAGGATTTTTCTGGTCTTTTCATTTGGAAAAAATGTCGCAATATTTTTCTGCCTGAATCTATGTGTGTGATACAGGAAGAAAATCATTGTACGCTATGGTGTTTACCTGATTTACACCGAATGAAATGAAATGAAAGAAGAGATAGATATTTGCTCATCTGCTCTGGTTGTTGTGACAAGCAAGCAAGCAAGCAAGAAAAAAAAGATCATTAATATCCCGAATTTGAACACAATTCAAACCCGAAACGAAGAAGAAAATTGACAATTGTAACCAATGGAAGAAAGAAAGAAAAAAAAATCATTAGCATGATACAATTTTCTCTCTGTGTGTTTTGTGTATGTGATACATACAAAAAAAACATTGTAGTTTTGTTGTTGTTGTTGTTGATAATCATGATTTTTCTGGTGTAACAAATAATTATAACTGTTCAACAACAACAACAACAACAAAACCAAAAACAAAATTCATATTTTTTTCCGCTTTTCATTCAATTCATTCAATTCAAAGATGGAAAATCCATTCTTCATTTTTTTTCCAAAAAAATGAAAAAATCCATCTTCAGTACAAAAAAAGGTAGAAAAAAAATCATTATCAACATGACCTTTGGTGTTTGTGTGTGAATTTTACACACACATTTTACATATTTTTTTTTCTTTTTTCGTTTCTTTTCTTCCTTTTTACACCCAACAATAACAATAATGATGAAAATGATATTGGTGTGGGGCTTGTATAAGTATGTTCCAAACAAGTGAACAAAAAAATGTATTATTATTATGGATGATTATCATCATCAGGATGATGATCATCATTCATAATCATCTATAGTCATTTTGCTGTTGTTGTTGTTGTTGTTGGTAGTTTCAAGAAAACCATATTTTCTAGCATTATATATTTGGTGTTTTTCAAATTTTTCCTTCGTTCATTTGATATTTTGGATCCAAGATTCACGCACACAGAAAATCATTTTAGCCGTTTGATTCGTTAGCTATTTGAATCAAGTGAAAAATTTTTGGTTATTTGCAAAATTCTTAAAGATTTCCGTATTTAACCACGATATCAAATCAATGAATTGATTTGATGTTTTTTTCAATCTATTTGATGTGTAGTGATCAGTTGAAAAATTCATTTTTTTCCACTTGTTTTTGGTTGTTTGTAATTCATATTTCTTGTTTTATTTTCGCTTTTTTTTTCTTTTTTTTTGTTGTTTTGTTTCGGTGCAACAACAAACAAACCAAAATTCTCAACCATCCATGCAATTGAATGAAAGAATTATTATCATTATCATTCATAGACAACAGAAAACAAAATGATCATCTTCCATCATCATGTTTGAACAAAATAAAGAAGATTTTGTAAAAAAAAGAATCTTTTTTGGTTTTGGTTTCTGCAAAGTCAACCAACCGACCATCAAAAAGCATCAAAGAAAACAACAACAAAAACAGGTATGTCAAGTTTTTTTTTCCTTATTCCTTTTTTTGGTTGATGATCATATGCTTCAAGAATGATCAAATGTGTGTGTGTGCATATACAGAAAAAGAAACACAATCTTACAAAATATATATTTTGTTGTTACTTGAAAATGCAATGATTATATGATGATATAATAGCAATAATAAACATCATTTTAAAAGTCATTTTCACTAACTAACTAACTAACTAAATGATTTCTACTGAAAATTGAATTGAATTGAATTGTATGTAATCACCATTCAGTGCAAGTGAGAGAATGTTCTTCTACTACTGCTGTTGCTGTTTTGATGTAAATTTTTTTTCTTTTTTTAAATATTCATCATGTTTGTAATTAAGATTAGCATTGAATTTGAATGTTTTTTTTCCTTCTTCTGGACATTTTCCCAAACACACCGACAATGTTTATATAGACCAAAAACATTGATTGTCAACACCATAGTTAAATGAGTGTTTTAATGAATGATTTGATAGATAAGCTTTATTTTCATTTTATTTCCTTTCCTTTTCTTCTTCCAATAATAATTTAACTTACTTTGACCAACATGTACTTTTCTCATCCATGGATAAATATGTGGTGGATTACCACCACCACTGTTATTATTATTTTGTGAATTAAATTTACTATTATTATGATGACTGTTTGTTTGACCATTACCGGTTGTTGTTGTTGAGCTACTGGAATTTTGATTAGAATGATTAACACGTGTTATTGATTGATTATTATTATTATTATTATGTGTTGATTGTAATGTTGGTGGTATATTTAATGATGATGATGATGCTGATGATGATGATGGTGGTTGCTGTTGTGTTGATGGTGGTTCCGGTGATTGACCAGCACCATTACTTGATGTACTGAGATCTTGTGGTGATTGTGATGGATCACCAATACCAAATTTACAGCTTGATTGTGGTGATGTATTTGTTGATTGCCTCGTTGCGGCAACAACTGCCGCTTGTTGCTGTAATTGTGATAATTGTGATTGCATTAATTGTTGTTGTTGTTGTTGGCTATTTGTTTGTTGATGATGTGGATGTTGTTGATGATGTTGTGGATGACTATTGGCCAAACGATTATTTGTTACACCTGGTTGTTGGCCACCAACTAGTGCTTGTTGTTGTGAACATACAGCGGCTGCTGCTGCTGCCGCTGTATTATAAATGTC